TTGCAAAGTTTCAGTTTGTTTTGCTGAAGGTGAAATTGGATGACCATTTGGAATTGAGAAAATGATAGTGCTTGGAGGGATCAAACAGGTTTACAGGTTTTCATAATGTTAAATATTGAGTTTCAGTTGAATAAATGATTGAAAGTATACAGCAAGGCATACATTGCTTATGCTAATGTGCCAGTGTAAGGATAAAAGAAACTCAGATACTTTGATCTCCTGAGAAACAGACAATACAAACTTACACGGGCATCTTCGAGACACCCCACATAGGGGTGGTGCAGGAAACGCCTCTCACATATGCATCAGTGCCTTTTCATCTCCTCCCTCCACTTGATTCACTCAGAATGGTCAACAGTATAATGTTCTATATAAATGCAAATAAGATTTACAGTCATGTTTGGTGTCATTTGAATAGTCTCAGGGCGAGTGGTACAATGGTCTTAATCTTACAAAAGTAGACTAAAAGATAATACAGATCCTAAGAGTTAAGAGATACTTTGATTACTGTAGAGGGTCATTCCATGCAAATTACCTTCTGTTCCCATTGAGGTGTAAACTAGCCACCCAGATTCCAATTGTTAGTACATGCCTCCATTTGGGGGATGTTTTATCTTGGTTTTGTATTTAAAGGATTGCAGCAAAAGGGTCGGGGCGATTCTGTAGCCAGAGAGCCCGTAGTATGAAGTGTGTCCACACACTTCACACTATGTATTTTTCTAAAAAGTCAGGTATGCATCTTACTCTTAGATTTGTCTATGAGAATTTGATGTATCGTATTGATTTGATATCTTTGAATTGGCTATGTAGATAATTGGCATAATACATATTTACCTGACTGATAATAAATTGTTACATTTGATTTATTCTGACTTACTCTGAAATTATTTTCTCAAGTAGATTAAGTGAAGGCGTATGTTTCCGCAAATCTGCGTCCAGGGTTAAGTGCATACTAGATCTCAGGTTAGATGGAGCATGGCGCACATCAGGTGAGGTTATAGATTTCTGACTAACTGCCTGACCTTAGTTAAGTTGTACTCAGTTGCGTTAACTATGGGGGCTAGTCATAGTACTGGTCATAACCGCTGGTTATTGTCTCAACTTTAATTAAGTTGTACGTAGTTATATTAACTATCGGGGGCTAGACAAAGGGTTCTAGCAGAACCGCTGATTAGTGTTTTGAGCATTAATTAAGTTGTACATGGGTAACTGTAGGAGGCTAAACAGAACTACTATTTAAAGAATGGTAAGCATGGGCGACCCATTAAATAGTATTAGTCATAAACCTTTGGCTAAGGATCAGACTGACGAGTTTGTGATCGTGGGGCCCACGCATAGCGGCCGCCGTGAGGCATCCTAAGTGACATAGATTCCTAATGAACGAGTAAATATAAAGTAAAGAGTTAACTAGAATAACCAAATGTCAGAATAATAGCAATAATTAAAGACAGACAAACAACCAATTTGCCTTTCAACCTAAATTCGAGGTCATACTAAAATGGAGTCGGATTAGATAATAAAATGGAGTCAGATTTGAGTTAAACCTAAATTGAATAACTTTGCGCGCTGAAAAGACCGAACACACAAGAAACCTTCATCCACCACTGGATACCTTCATTGGGCCAAGTGTGTGGACCTTACACCAGAAACACATGCTTTTTCTGCTAGACCGTAAACACAGTCTTGTTGCTTCCACGTGATACACAGTTTTGATATGTATATCTACATATCTGAAAAACATTGTAAACATTGTAAATAGCACTTCAAATAAAATCGAATATGTCTCTTGCAAAAAGCATTTTGTTCTACACTGTCTCAAATACTGTGCAAAAAGTCATACAATCATTCACTAAAAAAAATGGAACAAGAAAGAGGAAGAGGCAGAAGATATTGTCAGCGGCCTCTCTTTCTGCTTTGAATGCTGTTTGGCGAAGAGACCAGATTCAGTCATACAAATCAAATTATGTGGCCAAATTCAAATGGCAGAATAATACCTGTTCTTGCATGGTGTGCAATCTGACCTGACCAGGTCACAGTACTTAAAAATCATGTCAGCATTTGTTACATATTTACATTTTCTTACACGCGGTCACGAATCAAGCCTCTGTGGCTCCCTCCAATCAGCACCAGAGGGCTCTGTCACCCAAGTACTGATTCTTTCCCTGGACTTTCTTTTCGCCTGGCACTGATTACCTGCACACCTGTTACTCATTCCCTGGACTATTTAAACAGCTCCAGCCCACTCTCTTATTGCGAAGCCTTATTTTGCTGTGGCTGACAATCATGAGCATGTCTCCTGTCTATTGAAATGAATGTTCTGTGTATGACCCTGGATTGTTTACCCTGTTTCGACCCTATGCTGCCTGCCTTTGTGATTCTTCCTTGTAAGAATGGGCAAAAGAAGCTTCATGATGAAGCACTGAGGCTTTACTCTGATTGTTTCGGAAAAAGATTCAAAGCTTTGAGAGTGTTGAAAACATCTCGCCATCTGGTGGTTAGTAAAAAATAATGCAGCCAAAAGCCTGTGAAAGACGCTTTGTTGGATGAAGCAGCCACCACACATTCAGTTTACATAGTTTCCATGCATAGTTTCATGTTACGTGCTCAAATAAAAGACTACTCTGTGTGTGTGTATATGTTGAATTTCTCTCTGTGATAAATTCATGTACCCATTTAATGCCAGTGTGAATATCAATATGATGTAATAGAAGAATAATGTACAAATGTCACATCACTACTTTCTCGTCCACCTGGTTATTCTCTGCTTAGTCTGCTATCTGCCCTGACCCACTGCCTGTCTTGTGATTACGCTACTGTTTCGCCTAGGTTATACCTGACGCTGGTGTTTGAACTCTGCCTGTCTGTACTACCAGTAACTCTCTTAATAAAGATTTCATATTGTATGATGTTTATGTACATTTGTTGACATATTACAGATTTCAAAATGCCTATAAATTGACAGTGTCAGTTAGTGTCAGATTGTCACCCTTCCCCCAAAAAATATATTATTTATAATATAGTATAGTATTCTGTGAACCGTGTGCATCCAGTTAAAATACATCTGTTAAAAATATAAGAAATAGGCTAATCAATCCTTAAAAATGTATTCATCATTTTGAAAGGCTTTCTACATTTATCCAAGATTTTGTTAAATCTTTGATTATTATTAAATTGGTGGCAAATGTTCTTATTTGCTAGAATGCTGAACAGTAGAATTGAAACAATCATAAATTCATAGGAACAGGAGATAAACATCTCCATTACACAATTTCAGAAAATCCATGGCTTTTGACACAATATGCGTTACATTTTAAAATTTGCTTACCTTCCACCTAGGCGATATGACCCAAATCTTATTTCATGGTATTAGAAATTTTATTTCATGATAACGATATATATCTCAATATATTTTATTTTATTTTTGTAATTAAAAATAAGAAAAAGAAGCAAATTACAAAAGCAATAGAACAAATAAACATGAAATAAACTTTTAATTTATTCAGCTACAGTAGGCTAGGTTTATTTAACGTAGTAAGAAATATTACAGAAATTGAATAAAGTGGCAAAATAAAACATTGCACAGTCTTCACTGTACCAATCAAACATGAACTTATTAAAGATCCAAAAGAGATTCAATCAAGTGCAGTGAGTGATTAACATTAATGACAGACAGCAGCAGGTAAAAAAGGCTACTGTCCCTTTTAAACCAATTGCACGGATCCAGTATACTGATACACATCCGGTTCTCACCCAACTCTTTATATTTGTTTAACACATAACTGACTGTTTATAGGAATACTGCACACAACGGGCATTTTGAGATAACTGTGTGCGTATATATTTGACCATTCAAGCACAATAAAACACAAAAGAGATCTGTTTTCGCGATCACATGCTGTCGAGAGAGGGGCTTTCAGTGCATGTGCTTCGGCTGTGTGTCAGTCAGCGCGAGCAGCAGATTGAGTTCTTTTTCACTGCTTATTGCACTTAATAACTGTTACTTAATCAAGTGCGTCCCACTCTTTATTTTCTCATTCATGCATGTTTCCTTATCACTCAAAGGTGTATAAAACTTTTAAGTATAGCACTGTTACGCAGATATATTTGCATACTGGTAATACACGATATAATCACGTTGGAAAGATCACGCGTGGTTAGTTCTTCATCTGTGCGCTCCGGTTCAAAAAGGTAGGGTAGGGTGAAAAACTCTCATCTCATTTTCTCCTCCAACTCAAAACAAAATCGTCCGACATCGCTGTTTTACCTTTTTTTGTAAAGGGTGTTTGACTTTCTCTGTACGTTCACTTTGTAAACACTGGGTCAGTACCTCCAGCTACGTCACACGTGACCTTTCCAACGTGACAACGTAATGCATGAAGTCGAGCTAGTGCAAGACGAGCATTTGTGGTTAAAAAAAGTATATAAATTTTTATTTTATTTTCGACTGAAGAAAGAACGACATGAACATATTGGATGACATGGGGGTGAGTAAATTATCAGGGATTTTCTTATTCTGGAAATGAACTAATCCTTTAAGAGTTAACTTTCTATAAAAATACTAATGTCTGAGTCTAGGTCCTACTAATGGTTTGGGTGTAATTCTGAATAGAAGTTTGAAAGTATGCAGGAGTGTTCTTTTGTGGTTGGAATATAATGATGTAAGATTTTGGTATGAAATAACTGAAGAGAATTCCATTTATACTGGATACCTGGGCCACTGCATTCAAAATGACTATGTATTTGCTTTTGAGAGTGAGGTATGCTGTGAAATATGCAATCCAGGTCAGATAGTACAAAATGAGACTAAATGTTATTGATTTGGCCTCATTGTAATTTTTCGGCAGATCTCTTCCCATGTAAGAAAACAATAGACACAGGAAACCAAGAAACCAACTTATAAACATGACTATGGTAAAGCATATAGTGTTCCCCATTTCACAAATGAGCATAATTTGGTCTTTAAAAGTCCACGAGTCAGCGATGAGTTTGAAAGGACTGACAGTCATCCAGATCACACAAGAAATGAAATGAATGAAAGAAACAAATGCAATGAAGAGCCTCTGGCCATTGTGTTTTACCCAAAGGCTGTGCAACTTAGGGAACTGAGTAGCCATTTTAAAAACAGAAATAATTTGAAAGGAACGGACAGTCAAACAGGAAATACAGACAGTGAAAAAATATGCAAATATGACATTTCTCAAGAGGCAAAATACAAATGTTGGTTTTCCAAAGAAAAAGAACACACTTATGCTAGACAAAATCAAACTGGTCAGCATGAGGAAACACATGCCGCCACCAGCAGACTTCACCACTGGCGTGTCGTAATTGTAGGCAAAAAGGCAAAATATGGCAATAAGGAGAATAATTAGGCATGCAGCAGAAACCATGACAATGATGGAGGGGATTTCTGTGAATTGAGGATAGACAACAGACCGAGTCTTACATGTTGTGCTGCCCTCATCAGACCATTCACCCTCTGCACAAGGAAAACAAGTATAAGGGTCCCCTGAAAAAAAAACATAAATGTTTAGTATAGTATTTTGGCAAAAGCAATAGTAACTGGATGTGGGAAAATATTTTGTCTTCAAATCACACTTCAAATAGCACCATAACTCCAGTAAAGTATTATGGTGATGGAATGGACTGAAGAGGGATATTCCATTCCAAAAATGAACCCACACTCATATCATTCCAAACCTATTTGACTTTCTTTGGAGAAACGTAAAATAAGATATTCTGAAAAAAGCTGACAACCAAACACTTTCCATTGACTTTCACTGTATGTACAAAAAATACAATGCAAGTTAATAGGAATGGAAACTATTTGGTTAACAACATTCTTCAAAATTTCTTTTTTTTGTGCTCTGCAGGAAAGTTTGGAATGACATGCGGAGGAGTAAATGATGACAGAAATTTTGTTTTTAGGTAGACTCTCCTTTTAAATATCAAATTGTCATTGACTGCCACCTGAGGTACTTACGAGAAAAATCCACATAGCTGTTAGGCGGGCATTTTCTACATGTAAAACAGCAACCATGAAAACCTTCAATTTGTCTTGAATGTCCCACCTTACACTCAACAGAGCAGTTTGAGAAAGGAACCTTTAACAAACAGGAAAATGTGTTATTTAAAGTTATTTTTTCTTTAGCAGTTTTACACATTTCTATAAACTACGATCAGTGCTCTCAAACAACACAGCCTGAAAATGTCTCAGGTTACGTATGTAACCATGGTTCCCTGAGAAGGGGAACGAGGTGCTGCATCATGGAGTTGATACTATGGGGAACTCCATCAGCGTGACCGGTGTCTGAATCACATGCCAATAATCATTGGTAGAGTAGTCCATGACGACACAAGCGTAGCACCCATGAGTTTAAAAGGGCACCTGCAACACACATCATTAACTCTGAAGGAGACATGCAGAGAAGCCCTGGGCATGGCAATGAGACAAAGCATCTCAACAAGGCTATTAGGGAGCAGGCTACTGATGGGAGCATTTTCAATACAATCACCCTGCAGGTGAGCTTCTAATCCATTTCAACAACCTAGATTAATTAGGTAAGAAAACTCATCAGAATCAGAATGTGGTTTATTCGCCACATGTGTGTAAACACAGAAGGAATTTGTGTACCCTGACTTAAGTAAAGGCACTTCTCCAGTACTCACTATAGTTAATGGTTAAACTATAAAATTCTATAATGACAAATAGGGACACCATCGGCGATCCAACTCGCCACTTTGTAATACTGATTGTCTGGAGAGACCTATAGAAGCACCTTAACAAAGGGGAGCATGTATCCCTTCTTCAAATCCCAACATCAGCTGGGGAGGGAGGTAAATGAAAGAGAGAGAGTCTCACCCTGCTCTACCCTAAGGGTTACTTAAGCAGCCTATACCAAAGGGAGCATGCAAGGTGCTAAAAACATTAGTAATTAGTGCTTCACACTACATCCTTCAATGTTGCCACTCCTCCAAGTGGGACCCCAATGCACCTGGGGGAGAGCAGCTTAAACCCTGCCTTGAATAAAGGCACTCTACCTAAGACCCGATTTAGCTAGTGCTTTGTCTTTTTCGTTTAAGCACTAGACCATAGTATGTGACAGATAACAAGGAGGGACGCCTCTAGGCGAACTTCCTCTACTGATTAGCATTGTCAAACCAGGGCCATAGTAGAACACCCAACCAAACGAGAGTCAAATTCATACTTTAAGACCCAACAATAGTTGGGGAGGGAGATAAACAAAGTAGAGAGAATTAAACTGACCACCAAATTTGTTCACCTTGCATCAACCCTTAGGGCCATCCAAGGGGAGATATGTCCCTACCACTATTCAGGCAGGGAGACAAACAAGGATCCACTTACTCCATTGGCAAGGTGGGAGGTATAAAAAATCTCACAAACATATATATGGGGAGACAGAGGAGGTGCCTCAACTCTCTCTTTATCTAATTCCTCACAATTGGACATGTCACAATTAATCAGTCAGGTTGGAAAAGTGGCTTCCCCAACCAACATGAAAGCAACAGAGCTGGCAGGGAATGCTCAAAAGGGAAAACACTCCTGTCAGACTCCTCCCCCTGTGATTACTGGCGTGTTTACATGTGCTTCAGACACAGTGATGGCATTCCCTATAGCGTCAACTCCACGACGCAGCGTTGAAGTTCCACTTAAAAAGGGAACTGAACACAATGTCATTTTCATAAACTGACTATCATTTACAAAACACAAATTACAATTACCTCAAACACACAAAAATCTTAGATCTTGTTTTTAGAACTGTCAACAGACAACAACAATAAGGCCATATAGTCTTTATTGAAATGGTGTAACAGTCCATAGTTCTGTTACTATGGTTTTAGTAGGTTGTAGTACTACTCCTGTCCTTTAGGGACTCTAAGTTGCTCTTCTCCTCTAACTTAAATCCCGGTGAGGTGGTAGAGGAAGAGAGAGATCTGTTTGGAGAAGGGGAAGCATGGTTTTTCTCCTCGAGTAGTCAATGCAGTAGAGGCCAGATATGTGTTGTAACACTCCAGATCCTAAGTCCACACTTTCTTTTTCTCAGTCTAAACAAAGAAATGTTACCTACAGCATGCAGTCCAGTCACTTAACCAACCAGGGTAACCAAACCATCGTGCAGTATAATCCACCAGTAAAACTGGATTTTCCCAGCTTCGGTAGTACACAAGAGGATGATCCTGTTGGTTTTATTGAACACTGCGAAGAGTATTTTGCTGTACGTCCCCTTAGCGATGGAGAAATCCTTGCTTCACTCTCTGCTGTACTCAAAGGTACTGCTAAGGATTGGTGGATGGCAGAGCGGAGAAATGTGCAAAATTGGAGGCAATTTAAAGAAAGTTTTCTGCAATCATGTTTAAGTGAGGACTATGATGAGGTCGCAGCAAGGAAATTGTTGGAGAGGAGACAAGGGGCTAGAGAAAGCATCAGAGACTTTGCATTCCACTACCGTGCGTTGTGTCTGAGGTGGAGGAAGGAGATGTCAGAAAAGGAATTGGTTCAAGCAATCCTAAGAAACTGTAATCCCCGACTAGCTAGCCTGCTACGTGGAACCATCAAGGACGTAGGAGAACTAGTCAGGATTGGAACACAGATAGAAAGGGATTTTGATGAATCCAAAAGATATTGGAGTCAAGCTAATGGGGAGGAGCAGAGGAAGAAAGCCTCCACAGTTCAAGAACCTCACCACAAGCCACCACATGCCAGCAATCGAGTCGTACAATCCTTTCAGAGTGCGGTGCAACATGACTATAAAAATATCACCCTTCCCATAATTCTACAGGACAGGTATGTCAGTGCCATGGTTGACACTGGAAGCACTTTCTCACTGATCCAAGAATCCTTTTGGAAGCAGTTGTGTCCCCAAGAGCAATACCAACCCAGCGAAGGACAATCCTTTCTATTGGCCAATGGACAAAGACAGATGGCTATTGGTAAGGTGAAGTGGAAGTGTGAGGTGTTGGGACAATCAGTAGACCTGACTCTTTTCCTTTTGCAGGATGCTGATCTGACGGTACCAATCATACTGGGAATGGATTTTCTGTTAAAGACTGGAATGAAGCTAGACTTTCAGAAAGCCTAGTATAGCCTACCCACAGCAGAAGGGGTTATAAAAGAAAATTATTTCCCCTTTCTCCATTATGACATCCACCCCACCATGCATTTTTACCTTGCCATTTTCACACCTACCTGCAGTGATGAAACTCGTCAGAACATACGTCAACTTACTCTGGCAGCAGACACAGATCCACAGACAAGAACAGAGCTGGAGAGTCTGATGTTGAACTGGCCTACTGTTTGTACCCAAGAAATAGGTCGGACAAACCTAGTTAAACACCGCATCATTACCACCGATGAACAACCAGTACGGCGACGTGCATACAGAGTCTCCATTGAAAAACAGCAATTCATTGAAACCCAAATCCAGGACTTACTGACCAAAGGGATTATTCGACCATCAATTTCTCCTTGGGCTTCTCCAGTAGTGGTAGTTCAAAAGAAGGATGGAGGATCCAGATTTTGTGTTGACTATCGTGGAATGAATGCCAAGACACACTTAGATGCCTACCCGATGCCCCAGATACAAGATATTCTGGAATCACTAAATGGAGCCACTATCTTTAGCACTTTGGACCTCAAAAGTGGCTACTGGCAGTTAGAGATGGAGGCTGACAGCATTCAGAAGACAGCTTTTGTAACTTCCACTGGGCTATATGAATTTGTTTGTCTTCCCTTTGGCCTGAAAAATGCCGCTGCCTCTTTTCAAAGGCTAATGGAACATGTTCTCCGAGAAGTGAAGGGCAAGTGTTGCATGGTCTATATTGACGACATCGTGGTGTATTCTAAAACCATGACAGAACATCAGCAACACCTCCACCAAGTCTTCACATGTCTCCATAAAGCCGGACTCACACTTAACCTTAAGAAATGTAACTTCATCCAGAGATCACTTGCATTTCTTGGTCACATAGTTTCGGACGAAGGGGTAAAAACAGATCCCTCTAAAGTTGCAGCAGTCAACTCATTCCCTATACCTCAATCCATCAAGGACGTCCAAAGGTTCTTAGGATTGGCAGGTTGGTACCACCGCTTCATTTCCCATTTCTCAGGAAAAGCTGCACCACTTCATGCACTCAAACAGAAAAATTCAACCTGGATCTGGACAGAGCAATGTCAGCATGCATTCGACACAATCAAGCAGGATTTGGTACAAGCACCTGTCTTAATAACACCTGATTTTAACAAGGCTTTGCGAGTTCAGACCGACGCAAGCGCTTGGGGGCTGGGGGCTGTTCTTACACAGGATGTAGAAGGAGAAGAGCATGTGATTGCTTATGCCTCCCCAGAGGAGCAAGGAGCAGAGAAAGCATATGCAGTATCTGAGAAAGAGTGCTTGGCTGTAGTCTGGGCAGTAGAAAAATGGCGACCATACCTTGAAGGTCGACCCTTCGAAGTCGTCACAGATCATGCTGCCCTGACATGGGCTTTCCAACATCCAAAGCCTTCCTCTCACCTCATTCGCTGGACAATACGTTTACAAGGATTCCATTTCACTGTGAGATATCGGAAGGGACAGTGCAACATCGTACCAGACGTATTGTCCAGAATCCAAAATCACAACACTCTGCCTGACACGATCTTCATTGTAAATGCTTCCAAGTTGATGCCTGTAGACCTCTCTCAAATTGCTATATCACAAAATAATGATAATGAAATTCAAGAGTTGATCTCCAAAGCACAGAACCAGCCAATGCATAATACTTCACAAATTCAATACATTGTGAAAAATGGATTCTTGTTTCGCCATGCACCGGTCGGCCAGAAAGGACAGAAATTCCAACTGGTAATTCCTTCCATTTATCGAGAAACATTTCTGCAATACGCCCATGACAACCCACTCAGCGGGCACCTGGGAAAACTGAAAACTCTGCTTCGACTACTGGAGACAGTATACTGGCCTAACATAAGAGCTGATGTGTGGAGATACTGTAAAGAGTGCCACATTTGTCAGAAGTACAAGCCTTCACTGACCAAGTTGTCCGGCTATTTGCAGAACACTCCAGTTGTTGAACCTGGGTACATGATTGGTGTTGACCTCATGGGTCCATTTCCCAAAAGTGCCAAACAAAACGAACATCTTCTGGTTACGGTCGATTACTGCTCCAAATGGGTGGAAGTGTTTCCTTTGAGAAAAGCCAAAGCACCTCAGATAGCCAAGATTCTTGTAGAAGAGATCTTCACCAGATGGGGAACCCCGGCATATCTAGTTTCAGATCGAGGGGCACAATTTACCTCTCACCTACTCAACTTGATATGCAAACACTGGGGAGTGGTTCAAAAGTTGACTACGGCCTACCATCCTCAGACAAACCTGACAGAACGGGTTAATCGGAACCTGAAAACCATGATCGCGTCCTACGTTGAAGAGCAACACCGGCAGTGGGACAAATGGATAGCTGAATTCAGGTTCGCCATTAACACTGCTTGGCATGAGAGCACAGGATTTACACCAGCTGAAATAGCTCTGGGTCGTAAGATCAAAGGACCTATGGAGAGAGCTTTTCAACAACCACCTGACCCCAACAGTCCTGCTTATCCCATTCTTGATCGACAAAAGGAACTTATCAGCTTGGTGAAAGAAAATGTAGAACGAGCCCAAGCCAAACAGAAGCGGTACTATGACCAGCGACGAAAACAGACTCTATTCCAGGTTGGAGATATCGTTTGGGTACGGTCTCATCCCTTATCCAGAGCAGATGATGGTTTTATGGCCAAGCTTTCCGCAAAATGGAAAGGCCCCGCAAAGGTTGTTAAACGCTTAGGCCCGGTTAATTACTCTGTCTCGTTTTTATCTGATCCCACGAATATTGATACTTACCATGTCCAAAATCTCAAGACCTGTCATGGTTATGACAAGTCTTCCAATGAGCAGCGGGGTATGTAACAGTCCATAGTTCTGTTACTATGGTTTTAGTAGGTTGTAGTACTACTCCTGTCCTTTAGGGACTCTAAGTTGCTCTTCTCCTCTAGCTTAAATCCCGGTGAGGTGGTAGAGGAAGAGAGAGATCTGTTTGGGGAAGGGGAAGCATGGTTTTTCCTCCTCGAGTAGTCAATGCAGTAGAGGCCAGATATGTGTTGTAAGCTCAATCATAAGGACTCTTTAGTATTGGTAGTTAATTACTACTAATATGTACAATGGGGATGTGAGGAGCATTTCCACTGTGACTCTACTACACAGAAACCTAGAGTGGATCTTTTGGGAATATTCGTTACTCAACTACTAAAGCCTTTTTTTGGAAGCACTTGGTGGATGGTTATCGGGTTAGATTCTTGTTTTATGCTCATTGAACAAGACATCATCAGCATCATTATCATCGTCATCATACTCTATGCTGAGTTCAACGGACATTCTCCAAAGGACAGTTGGGATTCTAAATGGACAATGTTCATATAAGGTTTTTCATTCCAAAATTCACTTTGGTTTTCTACGATGTTTGCCTTTATGCTTACTGGTTTGTTGATACCACTTTCAAGTCTTTTTTAAATGAGTATGCTGATTTATTTTGCTTTATTTTTCTTTGTCTATTGTTTTTGCCCGTTCTTAATTTTCAATAATAATCTGGTATAACTCTTCTATCTGTGTTGGTACAAACTTTATTTCTTATCTCGGTTGACATTTGATTGAATAGTATTTTAGGTGCTTATATTAAATGTGGTTGGTGGGCCCCTCCCTTAAAAATTATCATTAGCTGTGCCTTTTTAAAAAGAGGAGGACGGTTATAATGGAAACAAATATCTGCTGCATGGGTTAGTAACTTAAGACTGAATGGAAATTCTTTGTATTTGAAAAATGGTCAAATATTTCATAGCCCAAAGAAACACTGGGTAGAAGTGTGGTGGAGTTATTAATCTCCTCAACAGCAAACCTTACTTACTCATCATGACGATAAATTTCTTTTGTAAAATAGAACTCTGTTATTTGGAGAAACATTTAAAACTGATTGACAAAATTTGTAAAGCTAAATGTTTAGAATAAGGCTCAAAATAAATAAATAAATAAATAAACGTACAGAAACGTTGTTATGCCATTGCAGGAGAGAGTTGTTGATGGTAAACGTAATTTCTGCATGTTTCTCATATGTGCCCACCGTCTCAAACTGTGGAGGATTCACATCAGTGCGCCAGAGCACAACTTTATAACTGATGGCTGGATCATAATTATCATCATATTTCACCTGACGGCCATTGAGTGGAAAATTCAATTTCTTTATCTCTCCAAGAAGCTGTAAGGTGAGTTCAAATAAAAAAGACAAATATTATTATTAATATTATATAATAAAACATTAATATAACATTAAAAAATATTTATTTTGTTTTACTCATTTATTAGATTATACAATATAAATAAATAAATAATGTAAGCAATAAAACATAATGTACAACATGTAGTTTCATAAAAAACTAACTAATATTGATTTTTTAATTAATTAAAACATCAATAATGTATTTGAAATAATGATTCAACTTTGCTTACCATATATGACTTGGTCATTGTATTTTTCTGGCATTCATTGATGTCACACTGCAGAACTTTATGTAATGCATGAGCTATCGTATATATGGCAGCATAGATGCCAAAGGAAAATGTTGGATTCTCGTTTATAATCTCCTCTGCAGTCAGCAATGAGCAGTAATGACAAACTTGATTACATGTCTTACTCTTGACTTCATCCTCAGCATCATTATGGCCAGCATCAGATGTTCCTCTGGCTTTATAGACAAATTCATTAAATCCGGGCAATGACAACAGTCTCTCTGTAATGCCAATGACTGTGCCAATTTTCTCAATTCCTGGCTCTCTTGGAAGCTGTTGATTCATAGCCCATGTTTGACTTGCAATCCATACTTTGTCTTGGATGTTGTTCGCTATGGCTGCTTTGACAATTTTGCTTGCATATTGTGTCAAAGCAAAAACTACAATGACATTGATGTTGAGCATATCAATCTTTTTAAGCGTTAGACTGTAGTTTGCGTTTAGACTTAGACCCTCTTGATAGGCCAAACAAATGCCAGTATTGTTTATATACTTATTAAACAGCTTTAGTCCATCTGAACTGTAATCGTCTTGGCTACCAATAAAGGCAACCCAGTTCCATCCAAACCACCGTATGATGTGAATAATCATCTCTATCATGTCTTTGTTGCTAGGGATTGTTCTTACAAAGGAAGGATACTGAAGTTTATTGCTTAACGCATAGGAAGAAGCTCCATAATTCACCTTTGAGAGAGAAAAAACACTCATATATGTAGTAACATACACGTGGTAGACACATAGTCCTACGTGGTAGGAAGCAAGTGTGTAAGTATTTTATTATGTATACTGTATAAAAAGAAAAATAATTTACCATTGGTATAAGGTCCATTGTGAACAGTGGTGCAATAGTCATAGTTCTTGTGCTTCCATATGGTCCTGTTAAACCAATCACTTTAGGCTGATAGTTGTTGAGTTTTTCTTTAGGTTTTATTGAGCCATTCTTTAAGATGAAACGTAAGGCTGAATTTAAATTCTTTGTATTAGAACAATAGTCAAAAATTTCATAGCCCAGAGAAACATTGGGCAGAAGAGTGGTGGAGTTATTAATCTCCTCAACAGCAAACCTCATTACTTGCAACATGTGATAGCCAGATTTGGAAGAAATGTGCCTTGAAAACATAAGTGAGGAAGTTAATAGCATGTAATTGAATATTCCGTTTAGCAATGAGGACTTTGAGGAAATGCTGCTTTAATTTAAAATACTGTGCATTCATAACCCGAGACTGGTAAAAGATCCTTGCTTACCTGAAACATTCGGTGGTCTCTGCAGAAAACAGAGTTGTTTCCTTTTCAATTTCATGTAAAGGGAAAAGGCCACCCAATAAGTAATCTCCCTCCAAGCAGAAGTCTGATGCTGAGCAAGAACTTTTGAAAAAGAAACAATTAGTAAAGCCCACAAGCAAAATGTAAATGCTACTGAGAAGCATGGTTTAAGATGGGCTGTTGGTCCTGAAACAGAGATGTGTAGTGGCTCGTTTGAGAGCAGTCAGGCTCATATTCTAGACTTAATTTTCTTAAAACACATTTTAATTTGCTTAAACCACCATATTCACTGATACAAATGTCCATTTCCATATCTAATTCCCAAAGCATGTCAATCATTTTTTAAACAGAGCATTACACCACAAACATCTCCTCATACATAACACATTTTTGAATTTACAAATCAAACTTAATGCCCTCACTGGAGGCTGAAAACCAATGCTGAAATAGGACTTCAAATGGACAAGGAAAACAGCAACACTATCACTGTTTGCATAAGCTTTAAATTTTTTAATGTGTGTGTTTAAGATAACCCATACATTTAAATGTTTTTACATATCTGACATTAATCTAGATTTGTCACCCACAAGTGTCACATTAAACTACCACTTCTAAGAAATTATATCAGGACTGTGCAGCACCTATGCTCTATTATTTTGAAATAAGGAACTGAAAATGATGGTTTGTGTAACAAACCTGTGGCTGAATTTGTTTACTAACAATTTTAGAGCATTTATTACACAACCTGTATGTGTCACACAGAAGGACTGGGAACAGACAGGTAAGCTTAAGGGGAACAGACAGGTAAGCTTAAGGGTATTTATTGAGAATCTTCAACAACAGTAGAAAGTAAAGCAGGCAAATTGGTACGGTAAGTAGTAGTCTCTCTCAGCCTCAGACGTCACGCCCACGGACCGTTGGATGAACGTCTGATGCATATGGCACACAAAATTGGAAACACTTCGGGAGTTTTGAAGTCGTCATTGGATTGGTTGAATTATACAGGATTTCCAGGAGACGTGCATGTTGCGTTCTTTAACGTTCCGCCTGGAAACAAACATGCCGCGACGCAAAACCCCGTCATGTTAGAAGAAAGCCGTCGTGTTTACAACTCAAAAGTATGTGAAATATTTAAAGTTCGCGGCATAGAATCTTTAAAATACGTCCAAGAGTTTTACACACCGGTCTGTTATTGTGAGGACATTTCCACACACCTAAACATGACGCGGCACAAACCGAAACGTGGATGGTTTCTTTATCTGTCAGTCATATGCCATCTTGGGTGGTCCTTGCCATTCAAAGTGGTCAAGGTTTCCAGACCTTCTGCCGTCAGTCTGAAGGTCTGGCCACGCGAGGTAAGTAGTGTCACTGTAGCGATCTCTGTGGACTTAGCTTGGCAGTAACACATGGTGAAACTCTTTTACAGGTTTCCAGGAGGAGACATGCACGGAACAGAGGATGAAGACGGGGGAAGAGATCGCACAGGTAAGTCCACATATGAAGGGAGTTCGGGTAGGAGTTCAATCTCAAGACGTTTATTCACAGGGTTTGTAGAACAGCAGAGATGCATACGGGTGAGTATCAGAAGCAGAGTTGAATTCAATGGACTTAACTTGCTGGTAACAGTTTTCTTGTTTTTTGCAGGTGGATGCTGGTTTGCAGATCTGGAACTGATACAGGACATGAACCAGGTGAGTATCCAAGTAAGTTTCTCCATACGGATAATTGAGACCAGACACTAAGGCCACATCCACATGAAGCCAGAGCTTTCCCTGTCCGATCTTTTTTTTTTTCCTCATTCTAAAAAAAAATTCCATAAACATGGCATCTTCCAAGAAATATCTGCGTACACATGAAACTACTGAAACCGACTCAAAACAATGTAGTATACATGCCAGACCAGTATGTGGCACTGTAATTCTGCCACAGAGATACACTAAAAACGGAGAAGACGACTTGGAGCATGCGCATAAACCTTGCGAGCTGTATATAAACATTTTTTCTTTAGTAATTTTTGATTTTGCTTTAGTAAAGCTAATAGGCTCAGTAGCTCCTGCAGCACGAACACAAATGTAGTATACATGCCAGACCAGTATGTGGCACTGTAATTCTGCCACAGAGATACATGGACTTGGACTTGGAGCATGCGCATAAACCTTGTGCGCTGTATACAAACATTTTGCTTTAGTAATTTTTGATTTAGTAAAGCTAATAGGCTCAGTAGCTTCTGCAGCACGAACACAAGCATGTAGTCCGCCATTGTTGTTGTTGTTGCTGTTACGTGATGTAGCGGTGCCTGACTAGGGTCGAGATGTGGGGTGATGACATCATCATTTCATAAAATACACAGATTGACTGTACACACGAAAACGCAAGGGTGTCGTTTTCAGATTTATCCAATCTGGGACCCGGTTTAAAAAAAATAGCGGTTTCAGGCTCCCAAAACGCCGGCTCTGTCTGGACGAAATGCCGATACAATTAGGTATGCACCGATACCACTTTTTTCAGAACGAGTCCGATACCGGAACCGGTTCTTTTGGACAGTTCGTTTCAATGAACCGGTTCACATCAATTCTATCATCCCGGCAATGAAAATACATTCAGACACATTCAAATAAAGTAATTTGTAATCATAACTTAAAATAAAAATTAATAACCATCGTCGTCATCATCTTGGATAAGTTTCTTACATTTACGTTATGCAAAAGCACCCAATAACCACCGTAACCATACAGAAATCCAGCTCATAAAGCTTAAAATATAACGTGCATACACAATAAATAGTAAAATTCATTTACAAGATTTTACTGAACATTTGTTGCATGTTCATCATGTTAAAATGTTAATATAACTAGTTCCATTTGCACTTTTCCAAGTTTTATCTGTTATTAAAAAAAAATAATTTGTCAAATTCGCCCCCTCATTCAAGTCCTCGGTTCACTCGCGCTCATAGTATATTAATATCAGCTTCACGCATGCTCAGTAACATCAGCTCATCAGTTCTCAGTACGTTGAACGTGTCCGAAAGAAATGGTTCTCGGTTCAGTGTACTGGTGATTCGAGAACTGTTGACTCGAGACCCGCTGTGCAGTACCGTCTGTTCGGTAGTACACGCATGCTCAGTATATCAGCTGCTCGTGCTCATGGGTTCGCTCAGTCGGTACAGCATTTTTCTGTGCTGTTGGAGTTACAGGAGTAACATATACTCAGGGATATTGGTTTATTTTGAGTCGTAGGGACTGTAAGGCATGTCTGAAAGTGAGAAACTTTAGAAAATTGTGGATCAGTCGTGCTGACTCGAGATGCGAACTATTTTGTACTATTCAGTCCGATTTGGTGGAACGATTCGTTCGCGAAACCCAGCCGAAGCTGCTGAGCGGCGTTTGGATGAATATGTAAATATATGCTGCGTGCTTTCCTCTCAATAATGAAATAAACACAACAAAAACGGACAGCGGTGAGAAAGCAGCTGTTAAGAAAGCATCTAATTACAGCGATGTGGATGTTTGCACGAGCTCTGAGGTTCAGTAGTCCAGTAAAGTCCAGTCACATCACGTTTATTTAGTACTTTATGCAATCGATAGCCTTAAATCAAGCAGCTTTACAGTATTAAACATGAAAAACCAGAATCGTGAAAACAGCGTCATCTGGTGGTTAATAAAAAAATACAGCAGCCAAAAGCCTGTGAAAGACGCTCCATAGGACGAGGCATCTACCACATATTCCATAGATCGATTAAAGTTACGTGCACAAATAAAAGCCTAACAGTGTGTGTGTGTGTGTGTTTGTTGAATTTCTGTCTCTGATAAATTCATTTACCCATTAAACTGTGCAATTTAATACCAGTACGAATATCAATATGATGTAATAGAAGAATAATGTACACATATGAATTGCATATGACAAATATTTAATTTTTCTGAAATAATTTGTATTCATATTACTTGTATGACTGAGTATCTAAAATGTAACTGAATAAGTCCGAATTAAAACTTACTCGTAAAGTAAGATCTGGGGATTCGAACATTCCGACACGCAAAGTGAATCGCGCACGTGACTGGACAGAAAGTGAAGCTTCGTTTGTCACTGGTCACGTGATTTCTATGTTAACAACACAAGCTTCGAATCGAGGCTTCATCTGGTACACCCCTTTATTCTCGACACAAGCTCCGATGCCTCGGTTCAAGTGTCACATCACTACTATTAGGTATTTTAAGAGAGATTGTGTTGTGAATAAAATAGTTTACCCAAAATTAAAGATTCTTATCACTTACCTTTATTTTGTTTCTTATCCATATTACTTACAAAAGGAGATGTTAGGCAGAACGATGTCATTCAGTTACCTCTTCATATAGCTAATTAAATGGTGAATGAGAGAGTTTCTCTGCCTGTCATCTCAGTTTGTGTGCCAAATATATTTATTTGTATAAATTAATTGTATAATTGTAATTACACTATGATTTTCAAAAGCTGAAGTGATTACCTTTATTTCTATCATGAGAACTCCCGGAAGATTTTAGCATGGTAATGGATATGACAACGTTAATGTATTTGGTCTTGGTGGAATAGATCTGCTACGCTGCTTTTTAGCATGGTGATGGATATGACAATGTTAATGTATTTGGTCTTGGCGGAACAGATCTGCTATGCTGCTGCTGAAGTGCTGCTGCTGTTGGTTATTGCTGTAGTTGTAGATTATTGCTGCCGCTGCAAGCAAGTACAGGAACATGCAACTGCCAATGCATATGGCGATATGGTGCTGTGAGTACTTAAGACATACTGCTGCTGCACAAATAGCATATAAAATAACCCCCCAACAAAGCTGGAATGAGAAGATAAACAACAGCTAAAATGTGTATGCTGCTGACAGTATGAAAATGTACTGCTGATATACAATAATGTGCTTTAAAGCATACCCATAAGGCAGGAGAGATGAAATTATAAAATCCCCTAAAAAAGCAGATCTATTGCCAAGACATTTACTGCTGCTGCTCCAGAGAGCCATGAGACCGCATGTTTGCTATCTATGTGAGCCTGGGCCTGCTTTGCCGAATGGCTTAACGCTAGTGGACTATAGCTGTGTGTACCTGATCTGACCAGATAGCGTAAAACTAGTGACTTGACTTAAATGTGTTTCGGGCTAGTGAAGCCCAGAGAAATTAACTAGTGGCTTAAGCATGTGAACCTGGGTGCTGTACCCTTAGG